ATAACTGTGATACGAAGAATGACGTTACACTACCCGGTGTTTCCGCCGATGGCTGGGGGTGTGACACCACCTTACGGTGGTGGTTTAGAGTTTTCTTACTTTTCCGATCGATTACAATGTTACAACACCATATCCAAACACACACAAACACACACTATGCTACACACACATAAATAACACACACACACAGCCACACTGTGGCGGCAGGTGGTGGTCGGAGGTGCTAGCCACCACCTGACGATGATGGTGGTCGCCCTCTAGTGAGATCCAGCCAAAAAAACCACACACACGCTCTTCTGTTCGTGGAAGGAGTCCAGCCACCCACCTGGTGGCATACAGCGGCGATGGTGACACAATAAAGCGGGCAGCATCGATAACAGCTTCGTCTTCAGAGGCAGCCACCATGGCCGGCTACCATGGTGGCTCTTCATGGCTTTTCTTTACTCGACTGAAAACCCACACACGCACACGCAAACTCATCACAAACTATAAGCCACCATGGTCTCCATGGTTGTCGGCCTTGATCCCCACGACTGAAACACGACAGATGGCAGCATCTTCGTCTCCATTGGCGGTGAGACGACAGAACGGCTTCTAGGTGGTCCCATGGCTCCAACGGCAACGACAGAGGTCGTAGAAGAAGGTTGCTGCAGTGGGGGATGGATGTTGCGCCTCCAACGGAGTACGACTCGACAGCAGCGGCGCTATATAATCCGGCGACCCACTAACCGACGTGACTTGTGGTTCTTCATCGTTGTCGTGGCTGCACCGGCTGTTAGCTTCGATCGGCGACACCGGTTGGCAAGGAGGCGACGACGGACCTAGCAGCAATGGGAGTGGCGGCTGGAGAAGGGAGGAAAGGAGGTGAGGGTGGAGGCCGTTGTAATGGGATTAGGGTTAGGGTTACGGGGTGGTGAATGGTTAAATACCCGCCCCTTCAAATTTCCATCCATAATGACCGAAATGGTCCCTCCTTATCCCTATTCTTTCAATTTAAGTCCCAAAATTACCATTTGGCCCCTGACTCCATAAAATCCTTCCAGAATGAGTCCAAAAGTTACCCATTACACCCTGTCTTCTAAAATCCTTACAAAATAAGTCCCGAACTTACACTTTAACCCTCGGAAATCAAAAGTATATCATTTGGCACCCCGAAACCAACACCCCACTAATTATTATTTGATTTTGGACAATAATAATATAAAATAATAGTAAAATTACTTCTCGGGGTTCCGGGTTTATTATTTTAATTATTCTATTTTAAATGGGATGTTACAACTATTTGAAGGTATACACTCTTTTATTGTAAATTTAGTCACATTCATGTATTTATTAATTACATGTGTTGTATGTTTCATCAAATGGAGTATAAAGATCTGAGCATCTGATTTTGCCCGCCAAATGTTTGTTAAAATGCTTGAATCAGATATTTCAACTAATTTTTTTGTAATCTTTGAACTATCATATCTCTCTCATACTAGCTTGGAATGATCTGAAATTTGTTTAGGCATATTCTCCTTTGTGTTAGCTACATGTTAGGTTCCGTAGTCATTTTAATTGGATTAATATTGGCTGAGTTATAGTCCTTCGAACATGCGATGTTACAGCTGTATTTTTAGCACTTTTACTTTGTTTAGAAATTTTTGTGATCTTTGAACTGTCATATTTATCACATTCTAGCTTTTAATAAGTTGGCCTTTTTCCAAAGTATTGTCCCCTGTGTTACCTACAATGTAGGCTCTAGAATCATTGTAATTAGATTAAGTCGATTAATTGGATCAAGTGACTCGGGGAATACTTGATAAAGTGACTCGAGTATTACATTCTGTTAGAATAAATTAAAAGTCTTTAATGTCTAACAGATTCTATTAGAATTTATAGTTTTGCTCTTTTAGAATATACTAAAAGTTATAATATTTTAAAGTTGATTATTATTATTTTTATTTATTTATTTAGGTTTTGGAGGGGCGCCATTGATGTGGAAAATGAAGAAAACATGGAGAACGAGCGTATTCTAGCAGAATGTTGTTATTTTTTAAGAATTTTATTCATTTTTGTTGATGTTCTGTTAGAATATGTATAATTATATTAAAATGTATAAGACTTTTAGTCTGTAAGAATATGCATGAATTTGTATTTAAGTTCGGATGTATAAGAATATGTTAAACTGTTGTTATTCTTCAACCGGGGATTCAAGAATTCTGTTATTCTTCAATAATATTCTAATAGAATAAAAATATGAAAGAACATCATTCTAACAAAAAACAATTTAACAGAATAAAATCGGTTATATTAACAAATTACGTTAGAATCAAAATTGAATTAATTTAAAAAATTTAGATTTTTAATATTAGAAAAATTAATTATCCCTAAATATCCAAAAATTCATTTTTATAAAAATAGTTAATTGTCCAAAATACCCTTATGCTGAAATTTGTGTGATTATATGGTAAATGTTATCCCATTGTAATATTATACACTTTCAGATCATGACCACTGATTAATTTCATCCGTTGGTCCAGATTTATGCTTACGAGCACACAATAGATGCTAGGAACACAATAACCTAGCCCTATATATATAAGTACGTGAGTGCAAAAACCAATAACAAAACAAAATAAAAAAAACCAAACAATTTAACAACCCCAACTATTTTGAAAAACCGTTAGGTTGGTGTCTGGAAAAGAAACAAAAATATGTGTTTGGAAACAAAAAACAAAAAAAAAATCTTATGTAAGTGAAAAATATAAAATTAAAAATTAAACTTATAAAATGACCTACCTAACCGGTTGGTTACCAAGATTTTTGTTAATAAATCTAGAAAAAATAGTTATTATACTTTAAAAAGACAGCGAGCAGTAGAAAATCTCATATATAAACATGAAAATTTTGCATGGTATTTGCTATAAAAATACCAAAAATTTAAATGAAATAAATGTTTGGATGGTGTATCAAAAAAAACGAAAGGAATATTCCTATAATTTGGATGATTTGTGAATAATAAAAAAGAATATAAGGGCCATTTTTGTAATTTTGATTCCATATCATTTAACTGGTGTAAGAACGTTATTAAAAAAATAATCTCCGATCGATAAAAAAAAGAGTAACAAAAGAAAACAAACCTTATTAAAAAAAAAGATGCACATAACAGTCGAGATGATAATAGTATTCGAACATGAATATATTAAAAATAAATTAAAAGCTACTGACGACTTTTAACCAACTCAACTAATCAAAGATTTGAAAAAATCAAAAAGATAAATGTATCAACGAGAAATAATTTTGGAGACCCAAACCTAGAGAGGCCTGGAGCCATCACCCAACTTGCCCACCCTATTGGGTCGGGCGTTCAGTTACATTTCTAGCTAGTTGATATTTTGCAGCACCCCGTTCAAGTAGTCGCTAGTTTGCAACTTCTTGTTCATGGTTTTATCAATCTCCACGTCCTTAATTTTTTTAAATTCAAGTAGTCTTTAGTTTGCAACTTATTGTTCATGGTTTTATTAATGTCCACGTCCTCAAAATTTTAAATGCTTTGTTTATATGTATATGCAATTGAATATTTGATCATTTCTTTCTTACCATATGAAAAAGTATTCTTTAAGATTTGCACTTTGGATGCTAATATGCTTCTCTCTCTAGATGTACACACCTCTTCTACGCGGAAACATATTCTAAGGATGTCATTGTTTAAGCACTTTCTTCTGCCACTGTCTACAAGCATCTATTCTCTCTTGTATGTCCACTTCAATTTGGGGGACAATCCTTTTATCGGATCGTTTTACCATTGTCTTTCTTTGATATGTCAGAATATATCCTTGATCCACTAAAGTTATATCCTTGATCCACTAAAGTTGCACACTTTATCATTTTCTCTTTGGTGGCACCTTTATCTTATTAGCTTTGGCTGGTAGCTTCAGGTCGGTCTAACTGGTGTAGCTAAGAGTAGCTGATTCAGATTCATGGGTTGTAAGCCTTTTACGATAATTTATCAACTTCTGAAAATGTTATAAATAGATACTCAAGAGCTTATAGTCTTATTCACTCATTCATTGTTGGGTGCTCTGACTGGTTGTTGCAATTAGGGAATTATTTCACATACTGCAATAATTAAGAGTTAAGACAATGAGCTATAACAGATCAAACATAGGTTCTGGTTAGTCTCTTCCCATCAAGCCGGTCATAAATGCATTATCTAAGAACCATGAACATTAAAACGTCTTTGTTAAATAATATGACTAAGATTTAAGGATTTGTAAGCGTTCTTGATGCATTGTTTCAGGTAGTAGGAATGTCGGAAGGAACACATTTGAGTTTGGAAGGACTTATGTGGTCAGGCCCAAAGGAACCCACCAAGCAACTATCGTTTGGTTACATGGCATTGGTGAAATGGGATCAAGGTGATGACAATGAATGTTTGCTTTGAATGTGATGATTTTTTAAAAGACAAATTTGATATCAATTGCAGAATAGCAAGTGGGTTGTACTCATTTCGACCATTTTGACATTTGATATTAAGATTTGACTTCATAATATTAATTTATCAGTGATGTTTTCTTCTATATATGACTTACCTATGGATGCTTTAGGATTATAAGGCTTGGTATTTTCCAAGTAATTCTGGGTAAGTTTCTTCTTTCGATTATACACAAGTGATCAACCATTAGTCAAATGTCCAAAATATATTCAGAAGATAAGAAACTAGGAGAATTTTATGGCCAAAATCAATAACAAGTTCAATGACAATGGACAAACAAGTAATTTTAGTTATTAACCATGATGTTAAGATTATCAAATTTCAGTTGTCTTCACCATAACGGATTTGGTGCAATTCTCATGGACAAGATGTAGTACAAAGCACGACATCATTTCCTATAATATTAATATCACTACATGACCTTATCTTTAGGTTAAGAAATCACCAACTTGCCCTTGTGTGAATTAGAGTGGAAGTTTTTGTATACAATTAATATTGTCTCACATATTGGGAAATGGGAAAGAGGTGCTTCCCAAGGCCAAAAACTATATCCACGACTATATCTATCACCTGATCTAGATTCGTATAAGATTCTGAAAGGTTTTCCAAGAGTGTTTTCCGCTTTTTTTCGCAATAGTTATTTATATTTGTTTTCTCATTTATATTTTGTTTTACAGTTGGTCCCAGTTCTTGGAATCTTTGCCTCTTCCAAATGTAAGGATGAGTATATTTCGGTTTCATGACATACACAATTATAATGTGAACAACCTACGTTATTGTATGATTTGTACTTTAATCATTTTAATCAAACTACTATATAGATCAAGTGGATCTGCCCAACTGCCCCAAGTCGCCCGATAGCTTTATTTGGTGGAGCAGAGTCTACTGCATGTAAGTTTCTTTTTATAAGGATAAGAGAAAATAAAGATGTGGTTGTGGGTCATATGATATGAGAAGAAATGGAAGATGTGACCCAAAAACTAGAACGCGGAGAAAAGATTGAATAAATGAATAGAAGTTTCTACATCTTTTAATTCACTTTTATGTAACAATAAAGAGAAAAGTAACTGGTACTATTTCTGTGGTTATCTAACATGTCAAGAATTATCAGGGTTTAATGTTGAAGACATGTCAGAGAATTCTACTGATGATGTGGAGGGATTAGATGCTTCGGCAACACATATTGCAAATATGCTGACCAACGAGCGTGATGATAGTATGTTTCCTTGTTACTTACTCATATGGGGATATATAAAAAGTGCTAGATAGAGGCCAATGGGGGGACGTCATGTAGGGTCCAAATTGCCACTTATAGTGTTGGATATGCCATTTTGTGAAATTTTATAGGAAGATGCTTGATATGAGGCTAGGGAATATAACTTTTTTAACTTCATAAAAGTTGTCAGCTTTTATATCATTTTGGACTCTTTTTACCTCGTGGTTTACCTTTTTGCAGTTAAACTAGGTGTTGCTGGCTTTAGTATGGGAGCTGCTATGGCTCTCTACTCTGCTACATGTCGTGTTCTTGGGCAATATGGTAATGGAAACCGATACCCAATCAACCTCAGTGTGGCAGTGGCTCTCAGTGGCTGGCTGCCATGTTCCAGGTTGTCTTTTAATCTGACCATCTTAATATATCATTAAACATATCACTTTACTGAGTAGACAACTTGTTGTAGGATCGTAAGGAGCAGAGTTCATGCATCACAAGAGGCTGCAAGACGTGCATCATTACTACCTATTTTGCTCTGCCATGGACAAGGTATTTGCTTATAAATTAACGATATACATTTTAGATTGCCTCCTTTTTGTAGGATTCCTATATAGAAATTGGTTTTATCTTTTGGGATTCAATCTTATATGAGAAATATTTAAATTGCTCTTATTTGTTCTTGATTTGAATTTGACAAGAAAATTATCATGCTTTTTGATATATTGGAATCAACTTTTCTTCGTGAACTATGATTAAGTTTAGAAGACATATTTGCTCAACTAAGGATTCAACAATACTTCATATAAGTGGATGAGAAGCACCTAGTTCAACTTTTGGAGGAAAAACATAGAACCTTACTAATTCAAAATAATATATGTGTGCCTAGCTTAAGAAATGCAACTATCAAGGAGTGACTAATTAAAATACATGCAATCAAATTAAGCGTGTGTTATTAAGTTTAATATAAAAAAAATGCAATCTAGAATGTTTTGACTTTAGAAGCTAAAATAACTTGTTCAGAACAAATAAATGTACCCCGATACATATTTCTCTATAGATTCCAGGTCTTGAAAATATCTAATTACTGCCTATCAATCATATATGTAGACTGAGATTGATCCATCACAACAATTCTTTCTTAAGTTCAACAAAACACCAAATATATTAGCGAAACACAAAGATGAGAATCTATATGCATAAGAAAAGGCTAGGGGAAAATTTTGCATTAATGATACCTACATATAAACATATATAATTATGTGAGTTGCATCTTTCAATAGAGTTTAAAATGAAGCTTGAAATGTCTGTGTGTGCCCCTTGCGTGTGTACTCCTTTATCCGAGAAGCACTATATCGAGAGATGCCTCAAATCGTTTTACCATATACTTGTGTTTATATACTATAAAATCATTCTTTTATAGTCAGTATTCAGAATTCTACAATTTTATTAATTTTTACTTGGTCTAGAATTCCTCAATTTTCAAACTATTTAGTTGTACCTACTCACTTGTCTTGCAGTTGAGTAGATAAAACTAGTTCTAGTTGGAGATTATTCAAGCTTGATATTATTGTTGGGCCCCTTTATCTACCAGCTTCAGCTTCTAGATGTTGGTGACTTGACATGGTATCAGAGCTCAGGTTTTGCAAGATCTATGGGTTCAATACTTCAATTCCTACCGCTTACCTTTGCATTATGTTAGTGATGCATGTTTGCGTTCCGATAAGGAAACATTGAAGTACTATTTGGTCCTCTACTACCAGCTTGACCTCCTCCATGTACGAGCATGGTGACATTGGAGGGGGATTGTTCAAGCATGATAGCATTAATGTAACAACTTAAGTATATACATGATTTCAATTGCAATAAACACATGGCTAGCTTAGTTATGTGAAAAGTAAATTGTTTTTGACATTTTATTCCAATGGGAGTCTATACCAATTGTCCAAAGGATATGTAAACACATGTCTCTCACAAAGTCGAGTTTGTATGTTGGGAAATTCTCCCCACCAAAAGTAATGTATGGTTAATTGATAACTCATTATGTGGTTATTGATTGCATCCAATGTATTTCTCTTAAAGGAGTAACCATGTTTTTGTTTATACTTTATCATTCCGGGTACCGGCAACTTTGAGTTGTCATGTATGAAATATAAGAAGATTATTACTCTAGAACTTAATTATTTTCCTTTTATGTCATATATTTTTATGTTTCTAACCGGTTGAAGGGAAATATATAGTTGGTTTTTTCTTGTATTGGCACAATGTGGTTCATCAAGCTTCGTATGTCAATGAGTTTGGTGTTGATATAGATCAGGTATGATATGATTCACTTATGTGATCAAATATTGATCCAACAATCCACTTAGTTGATTAACCCGTTTAAACGAGTCAATATTATGGTCAACCATAATTATGTACATGTGTGTAATGATCCGCTGGAAAATTGGAAATAAGATTTCTACTTCTTACATTATCTAATAATAAACCTCAATCCCCCCTACAAATCTCTCTTCCTTGTCCCTTATTATATATCTCACACATTACCTCTTAATTCCTCTCTTTTTATTAGATTTTTTTATTTTTCTACTAAGTTTTGTTTTGTACTTTTCAAAAACTATTAATTTAAAACATCAAGATTGATGAATATTTATAATCATGACCGTTTTCATGGAAAGATGTGGTAGTTGACCCAAATAGTTTTATAAAGATAAAATTTTAAGACTACGACTAGCTTTTCTTTATAATATGAGTATGTTTTTGAAAATAAATTTTAGATTAAGAAGTCATTAATAATGACAATTTTATTTAAAAATATATTACTTTACTCGGTATAAATTTTAAAACGAATTATTTTATATGGTCAAATTGTAAAATATTTTGAAATTCTTTTAAGATAGTTTTTAGGGAAATTATATAAACAAACCATTATAAATAAGTTTTTTTAAAGAGAACAAATATTTTTTCTTTATTTTCTGAAAAGTTACAACTTTCGACCGCATGTTCCATTTCGGACTTTCTTCAAACTACGGATTTTTTTTTTCAAAGAAGTCTAACTACTTATATCCAAAATGTCTATTTTCAAATGTTTAATATATCGTTTTCAATCAAATGTTTGATTTTAAACAATATTATCCTATATATTTTCTATTTATTATGTTTGTTTAACTTTTTGTTAAATTTTAATAAAACAAGTTCTCGAAATTCTTGAACTTTTCATCCGGACTTGGTGGTTATTTTTTTCTAAAAATTCCATAGTTTTTTTTTCAAATCCGGAATATTGGTTTGGAATCCGAAATGTCAGTCCGAAATATATTTTTTTGTTAGAAAAATATTTTTTTTCTCAATTTGGAATCCTCCATTCTGGAGTTGGTGGTTATTTTGTTTTTCTAAAAACATTTTTTTGTTTAATTTTTCAAACTGATTATGATTACTCAAATTATGTACTTTTTATGTCAATTATAGTGTATGACTAAATTGAATAAAAGTATAATTTATTTTATAATAACATCAAATGTTTTGGACATGCAATATTTTATGTTCAATTAATATTAACACCAAATCTTTTTTATGATTTAAAGTTGCTCTACTCAAAATCTCTCTCTCTCAAAAACAAATTTAATAATAATAATAAATAAATAAAGTTGATGTTGTACTTTTGTTTTAAATATATATATATATATATATATATATAATATTCAAACACAAAAATATATAAATATTGTTTTATTAATTAATGTACGTGAAATAATTTTTTTTATACGTGTGTTAAATTTGACTTTTTACAAACCTGATGTTGTAGGTTAAAATCCTAGACAACATGATTTTGTTGTTGTGAGGTCTAACTAGAATTCAACAATAAAATGTTTTTACTATTATGATTAAAGAATTGTAAATGAATAATATATATTTTTTATAAAATATGGTTAATCATATTACCTAAAAATTCATTATAATGAAACGTTAAGGGTGGAATTTGTAAAATAAACCAATAAACATAAGATCTTTTAAAATATGTGAGGTGTAAGAAATATATATATATATATA